CCCCAAAACCCCAAAACCCCAAAACCCCGAACTATGAAAAATTTATTGAAAATGGAAAATAAGATAAAATCTCAAAGGGTGAAGACCTTAAAAGCATCTAGCATGAAGCTAAGAGAGTTAAAGGTACGCCCAACTTTACTTGAAAGATCTCTCATCTTAAGAAACTAGAAGAGTGAAAGTCTCTGAGCATTTTAGTATCAAAACTAAGTAAAGGATTGCTTATAATAGAAAACTGTTTTCTACCTTTTGCCAAACTCTGGAAAGGTAAATTTCAACCAAGATAATTGCTCAGTGCTATTATGGCCATTTCTTCGATATAAATGCTGACTGTTGGTCAAATTTCCTTGTCCATGCTCCTTCGATCTATTAAGAAAGCGATCTAATGTTGGCTAGTTTCTCTCTTCTTACATAACTAGAGACTAATTGTTTGAGAACTCACAAAGGAAAGTTGGCATTTTAGATAGAGATATAACTTAGGTCAATAATATATTTAATCAAAGAGTCCAAATCTGGAAGGAACTCTTACCAATCTCAGTGAGCTATTACTTGCTTAAAAATCTCTCTGAAAAGACTTATTAGGCCTCATTAGACTTAACCTGGAGAAAATTTTAACATATTTTGGAAAAGTTACTGGAAACTGAACTTACTTTAGGGTAAGCAAAAGAAAGCTGGCAATAAACGAGTAAATATGAGCGTCTCTTTTGCCTCAAGATCTGGAAGGAGGTGAATAGGCAACGTTAAACCTGTAACTAAGTAAGTCTTATCATATATCTTTCATGATTATCCTGATTGAAGTGATTTATCTTATTTTATAGAAAGAGAATTGGGTGCAAAAGTCCACCTCCCATTTCTTTGACTTCAAGAATGAAGCCATTGAAAATGAACACAACTGTACTTGCAAGGAGAAATTTAAATAATTTTGGAGCGAGGCTTACCTCTCCAGCTCAAAAAGAAAAGAATTCCAAAATACCATCTTTTTCATGGGAAAATAAGAAAAAGACTGCAAACTATAAGAGTAAGAGGAGAGCTCTCCAAAGACCACTGGACATTCTCAAAAATAAAGTCAAATCTCTTTCTCCCTTCCAAAGAAAGATAATCCAGTCAGCTTACCTTCATTCAATTGAGTTAAAGAGTAAGGTAATGAAGAAGACTGAAAAGAGCAATAAAAGTTCGGGTAATGAAGAATTCGGGCATCTAGGTAAGTTATTATTATCCTAGCCTTGTAAATCTCAAACTGATACTCAAACTCTACATTTCTCTATTTGACCAAGCTCCGGACCCTGTAGCTTTTAGGCTCATTTCTAGTCCAAAGTGTTAATATTATAAGTTATTCGTTACATTTTCTAACTTTTCTGACAAAGGGAAATAGAAATTACAACTTATCTAGTCATTAAATTTTTGAAAGAAACTCATAATTTGCCGTATCTTTAAAAATAATAGCTATTCCATAACTCATAAGCATTTCTTACCATAACTATAGCCCCTGCGATCAATAAGTTTAACGATCTGACCAGAAAGGTAATGGATGCCAAATGCGCTTCAGGGCCTTGTAAATCCTCCTTCGTACTGAACAAAAAGTTAGAGACAATCAAACTCATCAAAGAGAGGTAAGAATAACTGTGTAGCTTCCTAACCTCACTTTAGGATTTGACCATTTGATAAACAAACCAGAGCCTTCAGCTGTGACACAGATAATGAATTTACTGCCTAGAGAGCTCCCAGGCTGCTAATAACTTTGTTGACGCAATTTTATACCTAAACTGCTTTTATTGGTTTATGGGTTTTAAGTTGGTTTACCGATGCCAGAAATTTCAGAGAAGATTCTTCCTTTTTAAATATTTATTCCCCACGCTGCGGGCTTTGGTGTCATGAAGAAGAGATTTTTCTTAAAAGAGCATTGGAATACCAGTCAGCATGGCTCTTTTAGTTTTCTGCGTTAAAAGTATTTTGAAATTATTTGATAGTGTGTATCAAACCTGAGCTTAGCTTAGGAATTTTGGAAGAAAATAGGTACTTGGTTGGGTTTTTTAAGGAATTTGGCAGGTTGAAAAAGATAGATTTTGGGAATTTTGGGAATTTTGGGAATTTTGAGTGGAAGAATTTTTATTGGATAATTGGATGGGAGGTTTTGGGAAAATGGGTTTAAGGGAAGGAGGTTTGGGGTTTGGGGGTTTAGGATTTTGAGAGTGTTTGGGAAGAGAGGCTGGGGAATAGGGGAAGAGTGGAGTTATTGGATGTGATGATGATGAATTATAGATGTTGGGAGGGGTGTTTTAGGGTTATTAGAGAATATTTCTTATTGTAGTAAGGAAAGAAGAGCATTATTGCACAGAAAAGTGACGATCCTCGCTTCAAAGCTATGAGTCTTAATTATTATTATTACAGATCTTTTTATATAATATTAACTTCTCGCCCATATCCAATGCGCTTCGTCTCTCCTTTCTCTCAAAATTTTCAACTCGCAACCATAAAATTTCTGCAAAATTTATTTCAAAATAACAATTTTTCAATTTTCCAAAAACCCTCTACTTCCTCTCCCTCCAACAAACTCTATTATAACCTCCTAACGTCCATATCTCTTCATCTAACCTTCTCCCTCTCAAAAATCTCCTCTTCTTTCCCCTTTCAACCCAAATTCCTCATAAAGGGGTTTTGGGGTTTTGGGGTTTTGGGGTTTTGGGG